CTCTTTTTAAAGAGCAGAGAAGAAGATCTCTTTCTCTCTATGAAACTCCTCTGACGTTTCTCCCCACCCAAATCTCAAGCTCCTCTCTTTTTTCTTTCTCCTTCTGCAAATAGAACTGTTACTAATCTCTCTCCCAAATTCTTCATTTTTTGGGGTTCGGAGATCGAGAACAGAGAGACATGGCTCCAGCCATGAAGATTGTGTTCGGTCTCTTGACATTTGTCACTGTCGGAATGATCATCGGTACTCTCTCTTTCTCTCTCTATTTATAGTCGACGCAAATAAATGAAAATTTTCACATTTGATTTCGCATTTCTATCTTCAAAACTCAAAAGTGTGAATTTTTTTTCTTCCGGGTTTGCGGAAATTGCTACTCATTGCCGAGATTCTAGCTCGAAATTGGGGTGGATTTTTTCATTGAATCGGAGACGACTATGAAATTGACTTTTATAAGAAACTGAAACGGCTTCAGTAACTCATGGAGATTGTGTTTATTTTTCTCTTTCTTTTCTGGAATCTGCAGGTGCCTTGTTGCAATTGGCTTTTATAAATAGATTGGAAGATTCTTACGGTAACTCCTCTTTCCTCCAATTTTGTATGTTTATTATGTAAGTGTTTACTTGAACATGTGTGTTTGGTAATAGAACTGCAAATATTGTTACATGTGTTTTTGTAGTTTTGAATGTCGTTGATTCTTGGGAAATGTCTGTTACGTTCTTACTGGGATTTTTGCTGGAAGTAAGGGTAATGTGTAGCTCTTCTGTTTAGGGATTGAGAGGACATTGCAGTGGAAAAACACTATAATGTCGCGGAATTTGCTAAATCAGGGCTTTTGATTGTAGTTTATGCATAATGTAATGAAGAGAGAATCTTCTTTGATGTTCTGTTGCTTGTTTTGTTGTGGTTTCCTTGATTTCTCAGTACCTTCTCCTTATTTCAGGAACTGGATTTCCATCCCTAAGAGGGCTTCGGGGCCAGAACGCTCGTTATCTTCAAGGTTCGTGTGATAATTTATAGCCAAAACTCAATAGATTCCTATCTGACGTATCTGATTCGAAGACTATTCTTGGAGAGCTTAATTCGTGGGTTTATTATGATACAGAAAATATAATGACAAGACTCGTTTATTTTTCAGATGTTTCCCAGTGGGCAAATGACAAAGATGCAGAAATGTTACGACTTGGCTATGTAAGTCTATCATATCTATTTTTATTTTTCCTTTCTCAGGGCCAATGTATTGCTTCGAATTTCATTAACACGCCTATACAGTTAAAAGAGATGGTAAGGAGGAAAGAAAGAAACCTTAGAATAGGTTTCTACGGGCAGAACTCGTAAATATACTACCGCTTTGTGACCCAAAACATTTGTATACACATGTTTAGTTTTTGTTTTGCCTCTGTAAATTCAAGGTCCATTCTGTTTGTTTCCTGCTAATGTTTATTTGCTTTAGTGCAGGTCAAGCCTGAAGTAGTCAGTTGGTCCCCTCGTATTATTGTGCTTCACAACTTTCTAAGCCCGGAGGTATATACACTCTCGTAAATTATTGCTAGTCATTGAGTTAACATGATGGCTATGAGTTAACTGATCGGTGAATAGCCTGTTACTTCATGTTATCAGATTTCGAAAAGAACATAGTCTAAACTATAATATATCCACTGATCTTGCTGATGTTAGGCCTTAAATTATTGATGATACTTTTTTTTGTATCATCTTCATTCTATAAAGGCCACGATAAGATTCGATAGAGAAGCAAAAATGTTAGGCTCAATTCTTAGAGCATTAGCTTAAGAATTATCAAAATGTATTTCGGCTTTTTTTTTTGGTCTTGCCATTAACACACTTTTTTGGTTCCTCCTGATTTGTACATGTGCAGGAATGTGAATACCTTAAAGCAATTGCACGGCCTCGCCTTCAGGTTTCTACTGTTGTTGATGTAAAAACCGGAAAGGTACTGCCTGTAGCTTCAGTTTCACTCTCTAGAAATTGAGATCTATTGTCCACTTGTTCGTAGAAGATGTGAAATTTCTTTTAAGATTGTTCTATTGTTTCAAACAAACATTGGACGTGAGTTGAAACACTCTAGTTATGCCTTCAAAGTCTTTTCAACTCTCTTCCTTTTTCTTATTACTTTCCTCTTGCTTAGGGAGTTAAAAGTGATGTGAGAACAAGCTCTGGAATGTTTTTAACTCATGTAGAAAGAAGTTATCCAATAATACAGGTAGATCACTCTCTAATATCTTAAAAAGGTGTTTCATTTCATTTTGATCAACTTGACATTTTTGTAAACTATATTCATTTTTCTTTTGCTATTTAGGCAATTGAAAAGCGAATTGCAGTATTTTCTCAAGTACCAGCTGAAAATGGAGAACTCATTCAAGTCCTAAGGTGCGTGCACAAATACAACCTTATTATTCTTTCAAAATTAAAGCAAACATTTCTGTTTTCTTGTTTTGATGAATCAAAATCTGCTGCAGTGCAGATACGAGCCAAATCAGTTTTACAGACCGCATCACGATTACTTTGCTGACTCTGTAAGTCTTCAGTTCTCTTCCATTTATACATCATTAGTATGGAACACTGTATAGTTTTTAGAACATCTAGTTTAGAAAGGAAGGTGTCTTGTGTGTTCATCATATTTCCTCGGTTTCTTTTCTTTTATGTTTTCCACACAGTTCAACTTAAAGCGTGGTGGTCAGCGCGTAGCAACTATGCTGATGTATTTAACAGATGACGTCGAAGGAGGAGAAACTTATTTCCCTTTGGTACACTTTCTTCCTCTTAGAGATCTCTTTAGCTCTCTGCAAATTGTTTTCATTCAATGTGTATTGAATGTGTATATCTATCTCTTTGAAAATGCAGGCCGGTGATAGTGAATGCACTTGTGGTGGCAAAATCATGAAAGGCATCTCTGTTAAACCCACCAAAGGAGACGCAGTTCTCTTCTGGAGCATGGTTTGTTTCTTCAATTTCTCTCTCTCTCTTTCGTCCTCAACACAAACATGAATCATGAACACCGCTTTATGTTCAATCCCGTCTTTCGTCTTGTGTGATATTCAGGGACTCGACGGACAGTCAGATCCGAGAAGCATTCATGGAGGATGTGAAGTTCTGTCTGGAGAGAAATGGTCAGCTACTAAATGGATGAGGCAAAAAGCTACTTCTTGAAGGAACTTCATAACTTATTTATAAAACCAAAGAAACCACAGGGACTTATATTGAAACAAATGTTATAGAATCTCAGAGTTTTGATTTTTTACTCTCTTTTTGACCCTTCAATTTTAGAATCTATCAATTACATACCAAAAAAAATGATTACTGTAGCATAGTGACTGTTACAAAATATTTAAATGCTTCACTTTATGAGAGTGGCAGTTTCGTAAATAAAAACAAAAATGAACAGATTTATATAACCTTGACTTTGCTTCCATTGCTGACCACATCGAAAAAGCAATGGCGGCTTCTCTGCAATTCGCAAACCCTACATTGTCTCAAACCCTAGCTTCTCCGATCAGATCTTCTTCCTTCCGATCTCCATTTCTCAGATTCGATTCCTCCTCCGTCTCTTTCCATTCCAAACTCGTTTCCTCGAGAGAAGCATCATCGGCGTTCGTAACTCGCTCCGCCGCAGAGCCACAAGAGAGAAAAACCTTCCATGGTCTCTGCTATGTCGTCGGCGACAACATCGACACTGATCAGATCATTCCCGCTGAGTTTCTCACCCTTGTACCTTCGAACCCAGACGAGTACGAGAAACTCGGTTCCTACGCGTTAATCGGACTTCCGGCTGCTTACAAGGAACGATTCGTTCAGCCAGGGGAAATGAAGACGAAGTATTCGATCATTATCGGAGGTGAAAACTTTGGATGTGGATCGTCTCGTGAACATGCTCCGGTTTGTTTAGGTGCGGCGGGAGCTAAGGCAGTGGTGGCTCAGTCTTATGCTAGAATCTTCTTCAGGAACTCTGTGGCTACTGGTGAGATTTATCCGCTTGATTCGGAGGTTAGGGTTTGTGATGAGTGCAAAACAGGGGATGTTGCTACGGTTGAGTTGAGGGAAGGTGATAGCATTTTGATCAATCATACGACGGGGAAAGAGTACAAGCTTAAGCCGATTGGTGACGCTGGACCGGTCATTGACGCCGGAGGTATATTCGCTTATGCTAGGAAAGCTGGAATGATTCCATCTGCATCAGTCTGATTTCGTCGTCAGGTAACCAAACTCAGATTCTCTGTTATGTAGTGGAAATGGTGCTTGAAATGAGGGTTGCTAATAGGTTTGGAATGTAGAATAATCTATAGGAAGCTTGACATTGATGTATAACATAGTTTTTTTTCATCTTCTTGTTCTCAATGGTTCTCATCAAGAAGATTGTTATCTGGTTACATGTGAAAAGATGGTGTAGTTAGGAGTCAAGTCATTGATTTTGTGTGAGGATGATAATGACTGGTTATAGACTTTTATCACTTATCAGGTGTTTTTCAAGTTTTGTTCTTGTGTTCACTAAGATTTACTTTACCACTTGGCACTTTTTATGTCTCACTTAGATGCTAAAACATTAAAATCTTTGGGTATTAGTTCTTCTCTTCACTAAAGTTTACTACTTCTTATGTGTTTCAACTGGTTCAATTAGATGCAAAAACTTTAGAATCTTTGGGGTTATTAGACTTGTGTAGATGCAAAAGCTGATCTTTTTCATGTTTTACATTGCTAACTTCCAGAAGACTTGAGTTGTTTAATAGTAGAACACAACATCTTTTCTTGTTTTCTTCTTCTTTTTGATTTCTCTAAGACTCTTCTCTTCGCCATATCTGTTTTGCAGGGTCCAAGAGAGTTCTCTTACCACCCAAAGGTATTTCATCAGCTTCTCGACTTCTATCGTGTGTCATCTAATAAAAAGAACATATGTTTCCTTGAGTTTATGAACCTAAAACTATGCTTTATGAATATATATATATGACTCTGTGAGTTTAGTCTTCTGTTTCAGTTTCTTCCTCTACATTTGAATGTTTCAGCTACTAAAAAAATGCATAGTTTCTCATTCAGTATAACGTTGATAGTGTTTGTTACCTCATAGCAAACAAGTGTGAGTTTTGAATTTTCTCTTCTCCTCTTCTTATCCAAATCTTCCAGTCATATAAGAACAGAATCTGAGTTTATAAAAAAATAAATATAAGAAAATCTTCTTTTGTTAGTATCGTCTTCTAGAGTCTAAAGTGATGATGATCAGTAGAAAACAAAAAGACACCTTTTGTTTCACTGCGACCTACCTAGTGTCTAAAAACGCACGTTCAGAATGTTTAAGTGGCAAATCCGTAAATACAAGTGTACAAAATATATTTCTCTCTATAATCTCTTTGTTTTCGTTTCTTAGCTACTCACTAGACAAGTTTGATCACAGAGCCAATAACAATGGCGTCTTCTCTTCCTACTTTGTCTCGACCCATAGCTTCTTCATCAATCAACCATCCCTTTTCCTTCGTTCCGACCGATCTCCTTTCCTCAGATTCAACAGTTCCACTTCCTTCCTCTCTCCCTCACTAAGAACACGAAGAAGACCATGTTCTTCAATCATTTTGAAGAGTCCGACATCCATGCGCAACTATATATATGGTTGAACATTCCCACGTAAAATGTTGAATACACTTTTAGGGTAGGATTGATAATCTAAAACGTTACAAATTTTTCAACGGTAAGATGGAGCGGGTAAACGATAACATAAGAGTATAAAGATGTAAGAAAAAGCAGTATAAAGAAAGCTGAGTGTAGCTTTCGTGGTAAAGTTTTTGGCACTGTTTTTGTGATTAGTAACTACAAAAAGCGTATACCTTGTACTGCAACGGTACAAAGTTACCAATCAAAAGTGTTGGTCAAAAGTCAAAAATATACAAAAGAAGACTAAATCATTTGTAAGGCAAGTAAATTATGGTCCATTAAAAAGATTCATAATAAAAGATGAAAGTGACTTCAATATTACAAACAAGCTCTCTAACGTACGAATCCCTCACAAAACCCTTTTCTTGACTCTTCCCTACAAAAGGGCTTATGATAGCAATGGACCCAATCCGACTTGTGGTGATGACTGTCCCTGAAGCATCGTATGTCACTATGAGTCTCAAAAGGGCGAACTTGGTTTATATGTGTGTGGGCTTACATTACATGTCGTGTACCGAGCTTTACTCACATGCTCATCGATTTCCAAGTTTTGATTCTAATATACACGTTTCAATTGTTGATCTTTTCATAGATTTGTTATATGTGTATTTATAATGTAACAGTGATTTATAGTATTAATTTCCTTATCATGTTATATGCATTTCAATTTTCTGAAAATTTGATAACATGGTTAAAATATATATTTTATTATTCTTATTTGTATTAATAATAAAAATAAAAGTTATACATAGAGGTATTAAAATTGTTTGTAAAAATCAAGAATTCCAAGGAAAACAAAGATCAAACATTTTAGATTTTTCGTTAAGTTTGCAAGGTCCACTTTTGCGTATCTTCCACTCGCATTTTGTGCATCCATGCTTGATATAAAATTTGTCTCTACTATGATTATATATATCAAAATAATGCGACTTGGAATCCCAACTAAAACTGCAAAAATACAAAGTACTGCCAAAGAGATTGGGTGTAAACCCGAATGACCATGATCCACCCGGAGCCATACTCCGGTCTCCAAGATCATCATCTTTTGATTTACAATGGTATCGTAGCGATAAACCACCTCCAAGATCATTATACATCACCACTGTCGTCCTTCTGGCACGAGACATCGTTGCACTTACCAACATAGTCATTATGAAGATGACAATGAATTGTTTTAGAGAATCCATTTTTGCTTTTTTTAGAATACTTATCTATATGTTTTCAACTTTTGACGGCACACTTGTTCTATATTTATAACGAAACATTGTATGTTCTTAGTACTTTTGGAAACATGTATGGTCAAAAATATAAGATAAGATTTGATAATAACTTAAGGCATTCAAATCAATTTCTTTTGTTTTCAGCCATTATTTTATTTCCCTGAATTTTTTAAATTGTTCAAACTTCAAATCAACCTCAGGAGGATTTACCGGTTCAAGGACGGTAATTACTCATGTGGTGATTATTGGTAATTGAATTTGGAAAGAAGATATGTTTTGCTTACCAGAAGTATTCTTGACTTGTTGTACCAACTAATATGTCTTCAATTTAGCATCGTCTACTAAAGTCTAAATAAAGTGATGATCAGTAGAAAAATATAAAGACACATTTTCAATGCACCTACCCTAATGTCTCAAAACGCACGTTTAGAACGTCTAAGTGGCAAATCCGTAAATACAAGGGTACAAACATTTTTCTCTATATAAGAAGCTCTGTTTCCTTCTCTCTGTTACTCACTAAACAAATTTGATCATAATAAGAGCCAAAAAAACAATGG